TTGGTCTCTCAAAAAAGGAACTCGCATGATACACGAGATACAGGATAAAATCATTTTTTATAAGTGAAAATTCGGGGTTTGTCCAGTACGCGAGATAGCACGTTACACGAGTATATGCAGTAGTTATTATTCAAATGCATTTATGCAAATATAACAAAAGTACAAAAAAAAATAAAAAGAATAAAATAAAAATATAAATTACTGTGGGTAATGAGCTCGGATTGTGAGAGGCCACCAACAATTTAGCAGGGCGTGGAACTGATTTCTTGTATCCATGATGATGAAAAAAATGCTTTCCGATTTTGTTATGCAAACAAAGACAGACAAATATTTTATAAATAAATCCGAAAGATATAGATACGCAATTCGTTTAACACAATCTCATATGTAACCGAAATAACTTGGTTTGCCTTCAGCCAGTATGGCTGATGCTACCCTCCAGAAAAAAAATTAACCACGCTTCCTCGGCTTCAAGTTTTCCACTGACATGAAATGGAAGGACTACAATGACTTTTTTTTCCAATGACTTTACTCCAGGAGATTATGTCACATCCAACACGAGCATTGAAGTCCCCATCACATCAAGTTTGTCCTGAAATGCCTTAGAAGGTTGCAATAAAAGGATTCTTTTTACCTCCTCAGTAGAGGCGATGGTAGCAGCATAACAACTAAATAAAGTAGCATGCTTATTCTTACCGATAGGGAAGCGAAGAGACATTAGACTGTCAGAAATACCAACTGAAAATGATTCCAATCGTGACACAACATCGTTTCTGATAGCAAATCCTACATCAGATTCCTTTTTCGCAGATTTAGCTCGTTCTACCCAGAAGAATGTGTAGCCACCTTCCACATTTTTGATTTGCCCACTGTCTATATATAGTACTGCATAAAATTAAGTAAAGCCTAAAGATAATATTTTTTTTAAAAATGACTCGTTTTTTACAGATAATCAACAAAACTTACTTAAACTATGTATTCGTTAAGAAAAATCTTTATTGAATCAGAACCACTTTCAAAAAATTTTGTCAAGCTGGAATAAAAATATTAATTAAGAATTAAGATGTGCAACAGTAAGTGCACCCTTCCATTTACACTCTGTATTTTTCATTTACATGCTTGCCATTGCATATCATTTTTTTTTTTGAGCATACGTAAAAATCAAAATGACACGTTTTCATTTGTTTGGTAAACTGTGTATACTTCCGATAACCAATATAACTGATTGTGAATGTAAAAAGGTGCAGTTAGAAATTAAATTCAAAAAACATGCCATGATCAAAAGAACCTCATGAAGCTTTGAAAAATCGTATAGTTGAAGAAGCCTATAATGATGGAGAAGGCTACAAAAAGCTATCAAAATGTCTCCACTGTGTGACAAATTATTTATAAATGAAAAGCTATTGGTATGACGCCATCACAATAAAGAAATGGCTGCCTGCGAAAAATAACAGCAATAACAAGTAGATATTTAGTTCGTCAAGCCCAGGTGAATCCTGCTGTGACCTTTGCTTTTCTCTAATGCTCCCAGGCTAATGTCGAAATCACCTGTGTATACGTCTACAGTGTGACAAAATTTGAACAATGCTGGTCTTCACGGTTGAATACCTAGAAAAAATCCACTGCTTACAAAACAAATCACAAAGCTGGTCTCAGTTCTGCCAAAGCTCATATTAATAAGCTAGAAACTTTCTGGCAAAAGGTTTTATAGTCGAATAAGACCACACTAGAGCAAAGTTCATTGAAGAATTTAAATCATCAACTTATTTTTTTTTTAATTCTTTTTTTTATTTTTGTAAAACAGAAACAACACTTACGGAAAATTATAAATTCGCCATTAAAATTGGTTATCGAAAACAAAATATACTTATGACTTAATATTTAAGTCTTAGGCGCAAAAGTTCAAGTTTGACCAGACATTTCTGACAGATTATAAAGAAACAGTAAGAACCAACAATACATATTTACTTGACCACCCCCCACTGAGTCAGGTTGTGACACAAGGTCAGTTTTAAACGTGGGGACCCGAGTGTTTTCACTCGGGCCGCTGATCTAAGCTAAGTCATAACTGGTCATAGCTTGTCCAAGGTGGTCAGGGCTGGTCTAAGCTAGTCATAGCTGGTCATAGCTTGTCCAAGCTGGTCAGAGCTGGTCTAAGGTAGGTAAGGTCAGAGCTGGTCTTTGGTTTTCTTCTCCGAAATATCATATTCCAAATACCCACAGCAATGTACCAACAATCAAAACCCCTAAATGACATTTTTCCCATACACACCCACAGCTACAACATCGCATAAGATATCAATTCCTTCATATCTTAAAAGCAACAAATCCTACAGCTAGAACATTAGTATCATTTGATGTTGAAAATATTTCTACCAACGTCCCGATTGAAGAAACAATAATTAACGACTCCATTTACAAACACTCATCAATGCTTTCTAACAAAATCCAACCTACAACAATTCGGAAACTACTTCTTGCCTCATTTTATGATCACAATGGAAAAACCTACATCCAAACTAATGGCGTCGGCATATGAAAACTATTAGATCCTGTTTTCTCTTTCACAGGCTTCTTATTGAAAACAAATTGTTTGAAAAAACTGACAGATCACAAATCTACACAAGGTACAGTGACAACATTTTTGTCTTGATAAAAAAAAATAAGGAAGAAATTATAAATCTACTTTTGAAACACTCAACGATAACATTTACATACGAACTTATGCTTAATAATAAAATTCCATTTTTTGACGTCCTGGGTAAGACGATAAACTGCATCCGCATCCTGGGTAAGACGATAAACTACATCCATGTCCTGGGTAAGACGATAAACTACATCCGTGTCCTGGATAAGACGATAAACTACATCCGCGTCCTGGGTAAGACGATAAACTACATCCGCTTCCTGGGAAAGACGATAAACTACATCCGTGTCCTGGGTATGATGATAAACTACATCCGCGTCCTGGGTAAGACGATAAACTACATCCGCGT